GATGGCCGACTAAAACTGCTGAAGACCGGGCAGAACGGCTGGAACCCCACCCGAACTTCTTATAAGCCTATCTAGGTTTTTTGGTTAGCAGTTAGGCAAGTTTTTTTTCTTTATTTAAGTCATCACACTTGTGGGAAAAAAAGTTAGTATAGGTTTTGGAATATTGTTCCATTGTTGAGAAAATTAATTTTTTTGAAACAGGTAGCAAAAAACAAAAAAATTCACTTGTATTTTGCAGTTTTCACTGTCAAATTTTCATTTTTTTTTGCAAAACCAATGTCATATTTGGAATCAGCATCAAAAACTGACTTGATTGATGTGTGTCTCAGGGTTTTGGGACAACTTTGGTGGGATTCCAGCTGTTCTGCCCGGTCTTCAGCAGTTTCAGTCGGCCATCAGGTTCTAAAAGTATCTGAATTACTTTTTATATTCAATTTTGTATGTAAAATCAGAAAAAAATAGTACCAAAATTTTAAAAAGACAATAAACCCTAAAATTTTGCTTTTTCTTCAAAATTTGGCGGAATTTTGCCCATTTTTAAAAAATCAATATTTTAAAATGTTTTAAATGAAAAAAGACTTTCAAAAATCCACGTTTCAGTTTTTCTCTACGTAACTCGATGAACTCGATCTAATGATCAACAAAAAAATCAAAACAAAAATTTTGCTTATCTTTTGAATTGCCGGCACCTTACATTTTAATAGTCATTTTTTTTTCTCTACAGTCACTTGTTGTCGAAAAAAATCAGCATCCACTCGAGCAATGATTATTGCTGTTATTATTATTATTGCTTGTGGAACAGCAGTATCATTCAATATTGCCTTTATTATTCAGCCTTCGACATGTATTCTAACATCGTCTTGCCAATCGAATTCAAATTCAACGTCGATATTTAGTTATACTTTACAAAAAAATTTTCTCACAGTTTTTCAATCATTAGGTGCATTTAGCACCTATACGGTATCTCAAGCAAAGTTTTTATTTCAAGTAATTCAACTGAGTGTCGCTGGTTTATGTTTCTTTCTAAATATCATTTATATCATTATCTGTTATGTCTATCGGAATAAACTTAAAAATATTCAACGAATCTTTCCCGAAAACTATCAGCAATTTCCATATAGTGCATACTACGATTATCCACCTCGACAACAAATGCATTTTCCGCCTCGAGTACAACATGATCCTAACATACCACGACAACAAATGCAGTTTCCAACTCAAGTACAATATAATCCTAACATACCACTACGACAATATCAGTATCCAACGGAGCACATATGGAATTAAACGATGCTATATTAATGTAATCATACAAACAATTGTTTTTTTGTTTATTCAATTTACTACGACATCTCTGTTTAGTTTCTTTTTTCATCGTACATAAATGTTTTCAAAATTTTTTTTTCAAAAAAACTTCTACGTATAAAACGTTTATTATTAGTAACAGAAAAATTTTATGATAAACGAAACTTTCGTTTTTAACTGTTTCATCTTCAATGACATCATATGTTAATACAGGAAGCGAAATATGAAATCATTTTCTTTGCATTCGATGACCTTCTCTTTCTTTCTCTCTTGTTGTTGACAATGGAGACTACTTCTACATACCTTTAACAACTTTTCTTTTTCCTTCCTCCTTCTATTTATTACAAGTCACGCGAGAAAAAAAAATGCTTCGTGTATTGACAACTGTTACCTCAGACAAGTAGTATACAGCAGTGAAATTTTTATTATACCGAGACATTTTCTAAAAGTAGTAGTCGACATATTTAACATATAATTAAATAATTTTGTTTCGTGCTGTTCAATCATATAGTAGACGTAAAAATCTAATAACAAACGGTTTACTGAGTTCTCTATATCTTCCAGTCTCCTGATGTCATTCGAATTTCAAATTATTAATGATGAACTTATCGTATCACAAGCAAATTTCGTTGATCCTAATGTACGTCAAGCATTTTCTAATGCCTTAAATACTTCCAACACTCGTACAACTAGTGTAATTGTTAAAGATGATAATCAGATATTTTCTGAAAATTGGAATCTCATTCTAGAAAATCCAAATATTAAAAAATTGACGTTATCTAATATAATATTATCTCGTAATGATGCCAGTAAGATTGCCGGTTGTATACAAGAAAATCAAACATTGAAAGAATTAATTATTCATGGAACAGTTACAGAATATACATTCGAAGTTCTATCGCTAGCATTAGACCAAAATAAAACATTAATACATATTGAGTTTGATGATATTTATAAGAACGACATTGTCGTTCTACAACTAATGAGTAAGATCGAACGAAATAAGGCCATATCCAGACAATCTTCATATCCAGACAGTGAAGTAGTTCAAAGAAATAACGAAATAGTATCTGTAGAAACGCCAATGTTAGAACCAGTTAAGACGGTTACATCAAGACAATTTTCTACCATATTTCCTCGTAATAAAATGCTGCCGTTATTTCTCGTCTCCACCGTGTGTTTTCTTTGCGGTTTACTTAATAGTTTTAACGGTGTTTTTATTCGTCAACTAAAAAACTCGTTTGTTCTTACAAAATTTCAAGCTGGTCTTGTTTTTTCCGTTTTTTACATTGGTTATTTTTTGTGGGCGATACCGGCTGCTTTATTAATGAGAAAAGTTGGATATAAGGCAGGATTGGTGACTGGTCTATTTGTGTCTGGTACGGGAGCACTACTAGTTTTACTAGCAGGTTATATTGGACAATATTTAATATTTTTGATTGCATTATTTATTATTACAAGTGGACTGTCGTTTCTGGAAACAGCCTCGAATCCTTTCATTGTTCGATTAGGCGATCCAGTAACATCAGAACAACGTTTGAATTTTTCTCAAGCGTTTACTCCTTTAGGTGCCATTATCGGCGTATTCATCGGAACAATTTTCATCTTTTCAGACCTAGATTTGCCTCCAGGACAAGTCAATTCGATGAAAGTGAATGAAACACACAACAAATATTTAGAAAACAAAATGATGGGAGTAACTTATTCGTATATCGTCTTAGGCGTTATTGCATTTATTTTGGCAATAATCATTTTGATCATAAAATTTCCGAAAACAAAAAATAAAGTAAATGTTGTTCATGAAAATGAAGTAACAACTAAATCATCAGAATCTCGTTCACTTCGTCATATCAATTTTATATTCGCTGTAATTGCTCAGCTTTTAAATGTTGGAGTTCAGATTGGAACCTGGAGTCATTTTACTCAATATGCTCAAAATTACACAGGAATTTCAAAAAGAATTGCTGAATATTGGATGATTGGAACATTGGCTGCATTTAGTGTAGGAAGATTCAGTTCAGTATTTATAATGGAATATGTTCGTCCAGATCTTCTTATGGGTTTATATAGTTTAATAAATTGCGTTTTAGTTGGTGTTGGTGTGTTTCTCACCGGATGGTCTGGAATGTTGTGCATATTTTTCACGAGTTTTTTTATGTCAGTTATGCTTCCTACGACATTTGCTATTGGCCTGAAAGGATTGTCTAGCTCAACAACGAAAATCGCGAGTAGTATCTTGGTGATGACTATAGTGGGAGGAGCTGCGTTGACGCTATTGATGGATCTTATTATATATTTGACCAAGAATATTGCACAAGCTTATCTCGTACCATTTATCGTACATTTGTTCATTGCACTGTACTCGCTTGTGGGAGTTAGATTAGGTGCAACAAAATGTGTAACTGAAACGAAAGGTTTGTAATGAAGTCTATATGTGATACTTTCAGATACTTTCAAATAACGTCTATTTTATAGCCAAAATATAGCCTAGTGTTTCGTATGTTAAATGTCTCTGTTCTGTTAGAAATTTGTTTGTATCCATGATAAACTTTAGTTATCTTGATTATTTATTTTTGAATTATGTTTTTCGAAATAATACGGTGACAGATCGTTTATCATCCGCACCATCAGATAATTTTTGGATAATGAATCTTTTTTGAATGCAGTGAAAAAACAAAATGAATCTGAGAGTGAGATAAACGCTCTGTCATTTTCACGTTTATTCCTGAATCGAATGTAACGACATTGGATCGTGATTCTAACATAATTAGACAAAAATAGAACGTCTGGGTCTCTTTTATTAACGTCTAAAGGTCAACCGAATTGTTGTCGTCATTATTTATGATTGAGAGTAGTTGTACTGATCAATGTTCAAGGAAAAATGGTAAACTTAGATCATTCATGTGCTCGTAGGATGATAAACAACTTACCGATAATTTTGCTCGTATTGTTTCAAGTACACTTAGCGTTTGTTTAACTGGAAATTCACGTTCTTTACAACATTATAATAGCCACCAGTAACAAAATTTCATGTTTTCTAAAATACAAAACAAAAATTCTTATCAACAGCATCTTAGAAGGAGAATGAGCGTCTTCCAAAAACGTGATCAATATTGTAGTCTATCATGGACAATAAGCTTCATATTCAACTTATGAATCTCATTACCTTCAGTATTGTATTATTATTTTTTCTAATAATTGTTTATTAATTGTTTCTAGAGTATCTCATAATAGATTCATCCGCTTTTCCATCAATATCAAATGATGTCATCAATGAAGAAAATTTCAGATATGCCACCACTTTCTTACGAAATACATACAGAAGAGATAACAAACTTGCATCAAATTTTGTTCAATCATGAATAATCCAACCTAAAAACATAGCGAAGGATAGAATACATAAAAGAAAAAAAGCCATATATGTTGGCTACGTGGGGGCTAACAATAGAATGTGCAAATTAATAAACACATTTATAAGAATTATAAGTGCTAAATTAATAAATAAAAGTCGATTACAAATATAAGGCAAAAAAAGTACTATGATTTTTACAATAAACACAAAAAAATAGTATAAAAACAACGAAGAGATAAAAGAACGAGTAATGAGATAATCTTCACTTTTTCTCTTGATAGTAGGGTTCAACAGGCGCCGTAGGATAAATATTCGTTGTTTGTACTTGCTGTTGAACTGCTTCATTATAGCTTGGTGGATAAACACCTTCCTCATCAACACTTTTCATTGATCCATAATTTGTGTGAGATAGATTAGTTGTAGGTGATTCGGCTGGTGCTAATAAAAAATTTCTTGGATGTTCTAGCGGTTCTGCAAATCGTTCAATATCACATGCCCATAAAGCACTTCCAATGACATTGGTCACTGGCGTCAAGAAATTCAAGAGAGGAATCATTTCTAATAAGACAGCAATAACACCAAAATGAACATAGTCCGAACGATTTTGATAAACATAATGTTTACCTACAATAAAAAAGAATTTTTCTTTAGCATAGATGAAATTTTATTTTCATCACTGAACTAACCCTGTTGAAAATTCAGTCCTAATATATCAAAATATTTACAGTGCAGTGACCAAGCATAATAGAAACCATTTAGATAAATATAAAATATTGTTCCAACACACGGAATGAGATTTAGAGGTGCTGTTATGAGTAGCAAACAGACTCGAAAGAATATGAGAATAACAAATGATTTGACGCATGAATAGCACGATGGACATACACCTCGATACAAATGGATATTCAGTCCAGATATCTGTTCTTGCCTAAATAAGAGAAACTGAACATAATAAAAAATGATTAAAATACCTAGTGATTATAAAAGATAATGCAAAATGTTCTCAGTGTAGTATAATAAAGTCAAAACAGTTGAAGATCAAGTTTTAATTTTCTCACTTACCTAAATACAACGGCGAATATAATATCCATATAATAAGCTAGAAATATTGTTGAAAAGACAAGTACACATGTGGCTACTTCCAATAGTGTAATCAGAAACGACAATAACCACGATAACCATTCCGGAAAATGTAATGCGCCGTAGTGAAATGCATGTGCTTGCCACGGAAAAACGAATAAAAAAAGTAGAATAACAGCAACTAATGAAAATGTGAGCATAACTATCAAACCAAGTAAAACATGACACCATAATTGAGAATGAGTGAGAAAATATTTGATGCCACGAAATGGATACGAATAAGGAGAATGGAGCACCATTTAAGCCAGTGAAAATTAGTAATGAATCTACAACAAAAATTATAAAAAACTACGTTAAATTGTACAAAAAGACGATTGTTACTATAGTTTACGAGTCTGTGAGATATTCTAATCTGTGCGAATAATAAATTAAACTAATTGATTATCTTAAAAAAGATCTAAACAACAGTGAGTTCCTGTTATCGGCAGCGTTCTACAAACGCTTTACAAATCACCTCAGACAAGAGATAATAAATTAAAACTGTGGAAGTGACAGAATCTCAGAAAATAAAAACAAAAAATTCATCCACAGTTGTTACTCATCTAATCATCTTTATTGCACTAAACTTTGATCAATTATATACTATTAGCGATGTCGCTCAAATACTATGAAATATTTATATCTTAAAAAGTATAAATATACTTCAAAAAACGATATCAGCTGCAATTTCTCTTGATTTTATGCTAATAAGTAAGCTTCCTCACGAAACAAATTGTTGTTAAAGGTATATTGTCTTCCAACGTGTTAGTTTTAGCCGAGTTGAAATCTTCAGATTAGAAGTCAATTGAATTTAAAATTGATTAATTTCAATTCTGAGTTGCTAAATGGCAAAGAATACTCTTTGAGGAATGTCATTATCCTGATACGTCGCGTATCCAGTTTTATTGTTTCTTACAGATTTAACGTACGAATAGGTTGAGTAGGTTGACTAATGTTAACTATGTTGAGTAGGTTGAGTAGGTTGACTATGTTGACTATGTTGAGTAGGTTGACTGTGTTGACTATGTTGAGTAGATTAAATAGGAGCGGGGTTTTCTTTTCTTTTTATAAGTAAAATTTAAATTCAAAAACAAAAAACTTAAATATTTTAAAAAGCCTTTTTTTATAAAAGTATAACCTATAAAGTCGTCTATTGAATGGTGTATTTCTTCTTCTTCTTCGTAACATAAGTCAGTTTTAGAAGAAAAAATATGGGAATAGAGAAAAGTGTCTTAAATTTTGCGTGCTGGGAAAAAGTGGTTTTCTGCACCATTTCCGTAAATTACAACCGAATTTAATAATCTTTTATCCCAGATAACTACCATATCGGATAGTATGTGGTAAAAAGAGATTCGGCTTATCTCTCTTAGAAGACAACTAAACAAGAAAACACTAAGTATCTTAAATTATGCTCATCAGTTTATATATTAGAACAGATGATACAATTAAGCAGGTACATTTATGATGCTCCTAAGTCAACCACCACTAAATTCTACTAGGCATAACTGAGGTGATTAAATATACTATGTAGTATCCTCACAATAACTCAAGAAACCTGTGATGGCTAAGGATTTCTAATATTGTGTAGTGTCTCGCTGAATGTTGATCGCACAGCAAGTTTGAGCCTCTTTACTGGATGGTTCGTGATATATAAGGGGTTCATTTCTTTTCCGTAAAATGCTAATATATATATATATATAATATAATAGAAATGCTAATAATAGAAAAAAATCTTCCTCGCGAGATCCGCTCCGTAAAGAATCGCAGTATCTCACGAGGATCCTTGTCCATCGCCCATCTCTGATACAAACGCGCAGAAGCGAGAGTAATTTTTTTTTCTTTTTCGAAATTCGAATCCATGTTATGTTTCATTTTCTGACTGTAGAGAAAAAGAAGGAATGTTAAGATTACACTAGAATGTCGACATAAAGACGATATATATAAAAGAAAACAAGTATTGATGTACTTTTACTCATACATGTTTACAGTTTGTATACTCTGCGGAGACCATATTGACAGATCTTCGAGATACTTATTTACCGACTTACTGTTGCGTTTGTTTGTATACACCATTCTTTAAGTTCAATACGAAATAGTGACTCTACATATGACATATATCGCTGCAAGCAAAATAAATGCAGAAGTTGTGATGAATTTGATGATCCATTGTGTAGTGTAGAGAAGAGAAAGGAAAAAGTCAAATGTAGAAGTAGGTTTTCTCGCCTCATATTAGTAAATTACGATAAGATTGGTTTGCTCTAGGATCATTTAATGAATCCGGATTGTGATATGAGTTCCATATCTATCTACAAGTGCAAGTCAACAATTGTCTCTAAAGTCTATTGATAGTCAAATAGATTTTTATTTGTCGTCGCATAGGTAGGTGAATGGGAGCCAAATCATATGGCGTCTGAAATAGGTCTTTGTTTGTCGCAGTTAAAGTTAATTTTGTGAGCTGCTGCAAAAGTCAGCTGTCAGAGTTTTTGTCATTCATTAAACTCAAAGAATCGTTTTGGTTTATTTGATAATCCTTCCACACTGTCCAGTTCTGATTATGTCATCCTCGCCTGTTTTCGTCGAAGAAAATTTTGAAAAAGTTATCAAAGAATTATTAAGTCATATCAGCCGATTATTAAACTTAAACTTGATTAATTTATCGAATCGTTCAGTACGGGATGCAACCGTTTGTCTTTCAAGATAAGATCTAAATTTAGTAACAAAGTACTCGAACAACTTTTTAAATGATAAGTCTACAATTCTGTATCTGAGCTCTCTCTAGTAGATGCCAAGCACTGGTATAAAAATTTTACTTAAAGCTAACTAATGCTCATCAGAAGTTGAATTCAAACTAGAAAAAGCCAAAAACCGGTTTTAGATTTATTCAACTTCGTGTCCCTAGAAAACTGTGACGAAGACAAAAAACGAAAGTTTTATGTTGATCTTTGTAGGCCTTGGGGAATACTACTATTTCAGAGAAAACGAGAAAAATCTGTCGTGCTTCGATTTTAGCCTTGCCACAAGGGAGGCATTTTGGAAAACCTGGCGTCATAGTTATGGAAGCCGTTTTCGATCGACGCATGCTGTCGAGTTCATTTTTACGTTAAGCGACCCAGCATTCCCTCAGCTTTGATTTGATATAAAAATAAGATATATTTCATCACATTTTGATGATAGTAGAGCAAAAATAACAGCGGCTGTTTTGCGTTTTGGTCTGTTTGGGATTTGGGCTATTTTGCAGCCAAGGCCTGCTACGTCTTATCATACAAGGGTGTGTCATTTGTATTGATAATAGTACAAATTGACTTTGTCTTTAACTAGAACTAAGGCCTAGTGGATGTATTTGGTATAAGTACTTGATTACTTGATGAGTACTTGGGAAGTACGTGACAAATTAAGCACTGAGCAAGTATTTGAACAAGAACTTGCCGTTACGTGACCTGCCTCGGCCAGAGACTTGAACAAGTCAATCACTCGTTCGTTTTGCATTCAACAGTTGTATATAAACACCACAATATCAATCGTTATACACTTGTAAAATGAATTTATATATTGCTGCTAAGTTGAATAAACTCAGTAGCCCCGTATGGATTTAATCCACAAAAGCAGAGCATACCTCCAGAATATGTATAAAATACAAAATAAAAATAAACGGAACAAATACTTGACTGAACTTTTTCAAGTAAACTTACCTGGAAAAGTCCACAAGTACGATCCTCATTACTTAACCCAAGTACTTGCGCAAATACTTGGCTCAAGTACATTCACTAGGAAGAAAAGCGATATAGCTGTATGGAATTACCCAAAAGTTCACTGGAAAACTTGTTTTGCCGTGTTGGCCAAATTGGTTTCTGAAACCAAGCGTGGAGGGGGGGGGGGAGCATTCAAAAATAAAATAAAATAATTTTGATAATTAAAAAGATTTATTATTTAGTATCAACAATAAAAAGCCACGAGTAGAATAATGCATATCTATAATCTTTCCGTCATTGTATTATTATAATATCCTCCATCAAAAGCATATGATCCCCGCTTCACGGATTGGTCATACACTTCCTCTGGCGATGATGAACTTATCGGGGATTTTGAGACCAGATTTTCAGAATGGTTCTTTTTTCTCCATCTCCATGCGCCCACAGCTACCACGACAATAGCAAGAAAAAAAACCGCTGATAAAGGAGCAGCTATTAACACGGCCAAATTTGACGACTGACCACATCGAGCAATAATATCACTACGCTTGTAATTACCTGAATAAAAACAAATACAGTATAGCCATCGCAAACACACTTTCTAGAAGGTGAGTTTTGTCAAACGAGCCGTTCATTCTATCAGCAGGCTAAACTTTACCTAATCAAATATGAAACAAAATTATCGACGATGAAAGATGTTTACTAAAAATCCGTAGCTTTAAACTCGGAAAATTTTATTATAGCACTCCAAACTGAGGCTATTAAAAAACTCAAAATCAATATTGACTCTAATAATGAGTCCAACATATGATCTTAATTTTATAGTAAAGTACAAAGGTATAAATTCACTGTTACTAGTCTACATTTTGTGCAATGGTTGAAACTATTCAACAGACTCTTTTTTTTTACTGCTGATTTTTTAAAAATACTATTCTTACCTCGATAGCATTCTGTTCCATTACAATCACATATTCCTGTAAATCTGTCGCAATAGGTGGAACAACCCGTACACGTGTTTTCACAATTTGGACCATATTGAAGTTGAGGACACGCTTAAGAGAGAAGAATATAATACTCAACTGTCTAGTTCTCTATTCTAACTTACTTTCATTACAAGCCGTTCCATACCAACCCGTATAACATGAACATCCGTACGGGTCCGGCAGACAGATAAGTGAATCTCTACAATAATTATTTCCATCACACTGAAAATCACAGGCCTGACCATAATAACCGGCTGGACAATCTGAGAAAAAGACAGATTCATTAGAACGGAAAGAAGAACGAATGTATAATGGCTTACTGTATTCACACGATACTCCATAGAAACCCGGTGCACATATACATTGTTGAGCAAGAACGTGATAGACACCTTGATGGGAACATCGCCCATCGTCTAAAACAGTATATAAAACATTAGCGGCAAAGATCAATGTTCCCTGACTTAAATATACTGAAAAAAATATTCCTCGATTAATTGTATGTAATTATCGTGAATTTTTCTGCAAAATTTCTAAAAATTCAATGCTGAGACCCGACTGTATGAGATATTGTTTCCGGTGTATACAGAACAACTAAACTTTTTAAAAGTAACATACTCAAAATATTGTCGATAACTCGAACATGATGTCCAAATAATCTTCTATTTTCATTAGCAAATGTCATAATTCCATTTGATCCATTATTAATGATGATTGGTCCCATTGTTTTATTTAATGTTCCAGCAGTATTTGTGGAATGGTCACACATGGATAATCTGTATGAATCAGGTGTGTTGGCGGCTCCCATATTTAGATATTCAAAACAAGGATCGCGTAAGTCGTTTGTTGAATTTAAACTCAATCGTAATATTAACGAAGATGTGGTGAACGGTTGACGCCGAAAGACAGCGTACGACATTGGTAAACTTGGACGATAGAAATCAATAGCTATAGAGCGCGAAAGCAAGGTTAAAATGGATAATTATCGAAATATTAATGGCACTTACCATCTCTTGGGAATGATTGTGTTATAATTCCAATACTCGAATCTTGAGGTTGACACGTGAATAATCCAAAACGTTCATCATCTCTCGATGCCGGTAATGATACAGTTAAACAGTGTCCCGTACATGTAGAATAACATCCGGTCGTTGTCATCGCCTTTCGCACATCTATATACACGATTTTACATTAACCATGATACATACAAAGTCTTCGGACAAATAGTGATTGACATGGTGAAATGACATATCAACATCCATAAAATGGTGCTTACTCATATCTGTGAAATCACCTACCTGGTTTTCGACAAAATATTTGTGCTGTGAGAACATCTGCTGTATCATAAACAGCATAATACGACTCTCCATCGGATTTTGAACCATGATAACGTGTTGATGATGGACCACCGTTATTTCTACCCCATATTAGATAGTCGAGAGTTGTATTATACTAAAAGTAAGATCATCACATTTAGCTTGATAAAAATGTTAAGATTTTCTCTTACTGTTATGTTCATGGGATACCAAAATGCTGTTGATTCTTTTTTGCTTTCATCATTTAGCAAACCGGTTAAATAAAAACTATACACTGGATTCATTAACCAAATTTCTTGCACAAGCTGCCACTCGTAAGCGTTTAGGGCATAGACAGGATACCCACCAAATTGTTGACAGTAGGTAACAGTACGGTTCAGAGTTATTTGCTCGACATTAGGTGATACACGATAAATAAAATCATATTCAACTTGCTTAGCTATAGAAAAAACAGAGCGTGCTTAACAATTTTCTAAACATGAAAATGTAGACAATAGGATTCAGATGGTTGTTACGGTTTGCTTACGTAATCGCCTACATAATGGATAACGTGCAACATTATCTTGACAATTATTTGATATTATTTGAAATTGTGCATTGGAAAATTGTATACCGATACTTTGAATGTACGTACAATAATCGGTAGTGGACGACCAAGTTTCATTAACCATTGGATGAAATGTATCTGCGATGGGCTGGAAAGAGACTATAGATCGTTTTAATTTACATTGTTTTTATAGAAAGTTAACTTACACTATTTTCCCATAGTTCAATGTTATTCGCTTTCTTATATCCAAAATGAAAGAATAGTGTATTATTGCTACGAGCTCGTTGATATTTGAATAATTGATCCAGAGTTGTTTGAATAATATCTACAACATTAGAGAAGGTTTTAAAATCCTGTTAGTCAAATACTGACTCCTCATTTACTTTGTAATACGTTTTGTTCGCTCATATTCATTACGTACATAAGTGTTCCATTATTAACGTCACAAAAGCTAATGGCAGCATTGCGCGTCATAGTTACAGGCTTCGTAAAATATTGTAAACGACTTTGAGTCCATGTTTCCCCTGACAGAGCATGCACATAAATTTCACATATGACAAACTTTGAGAATTTATTCAAAACTTACAGCCAACATCAACATCAAGTGGTCGTATATTACTTATTGGATGATTTTTACTCTTACATGTTATACGAGAATCCGACTCTTTGGAATATAAAAAATTTCGATGTTCTATTGCTATGTCAGGTATCGATTCTAAATATCATCATAAACGAATTAAAACTGACAATAATAAGTTAACTTGAATAAGAGACGCTAAATACTAGGATGATATATAGCAGGATTTTTCTACTCTTTATTAACAATCAGATCAAATTTTACATTTTTTTACCATTTATACGAGGATTGTCAAATATGTAGGAATTTGCAGATGTTGTGCTCCTAATTTAAGAAAACATAGTTTTATAAATGGCATGTAGTACACAGTGTAACACTTACCGCAGTGACACAATTCCATTTCTTAATGCATTTCCAAAAGATTGCATTTGACCTCCAGTTAGAATACGAACTGATGAATTTGGATTTATATTTGACCATTGTGATACACGACTGTCATGTAACGCTGATTTACATATAACGGACGACTATAGCCAAAAAAATAGATGTACACTTATGTATCCAACAAATTACTTATAATCCTAATCATTTCATTTTCATTTTTCCAAAAATGATATCTTACCTGACTATAACTGACATTTCCATAAATTGGATATCCTTTACTTGATAAATACATTATGGTAAAACATGACGATGGACAATGATGAGTACTAAAGAGCCAAAATAAATGGAAACACAATATATGACAAAAATAGTCACTTACAATGGAAATGTTTCACTTGATATATCGGCAAACGTTGTTAAACATGCTTGAGGTAAATACCATTGTGCTAGAAAAAAATAATAGAAATTTAATTGTAATCATGTGTTCCATAGATAAGACTTCACGTTTCAACATTGTACTCCTTGATTTATGTTGAATAAGAATCCTTCTTATATATATACAAACATCAAATGATAAAAATAATAATATATATTAATAAATATTTTCTCTTACCGTGTACACACTTATTTGCAACTTGTAATAAAATAAAGATAAAGATCAATTGTTTTGAAGCTGCTTTCATCATTTTTTTTTTGAGTTGTAAAATATGAAATATTCAAAGATATATATATATATATAAATATCTAATCGCAGTTTACAAACTGTTTTAAAAGCAAAAAAGTGAAAGATTCTACATCATCATTTTAGAAATTTCGTAGACATGATTACATAAAATGATTAATAAAAAATGTTCAATGTCTAGTATTGAATTGAAGGTTCAAAAATTGTTCATCGCAAAGAGACAATGAATTTTAAATTCTCTCAACAGCCACCTACATTTAAAAAAAAATAAAAATAAAAAGGTGCTTGTTCCTTTTTCGCTTACTAATGATAGTATTTCTTCTTTGAATTGTCAATATTAGTTGTATATAATGGAAGATCAACACATTTATTGATCATATTTGAACATCTCTTTCAGCTAGACAAATAAGACCATCGTTATCATATCTTTCATTTCGTTCTTCGTGACACAGAAAAAAAAATTATTTAGAAATACTTGTTTCTTGTATAATTACCTCCCACATCATTTCATTGATAAGGATTCACCAATATATGATATCATAGCAGACAATGATTGACATTGAAGACTTTTGAACTATAAACATACACTAAGTCTTGTATAACTATAGTTCACCAAAGCGATATGACTTTTGATAAAAGGACTTGAGTCTCATACAGGCAAAAAAAATCATCGAGTATCATCGAATCCTTCGGAAAATGCGACGTTGAGTCTGCAAAATGAGCTTGCGAGAGGTTCAGAGCCTTATTTCCAATTCATTAGAAAATTTTGAGTACTCGATGATAGGATTCGAAGAACGGATGCGTCGACGGGACGAAAGATAAAGAACTTCCTAGCTCTCCTCGCATCCATTCATCGAACCCTATAGCCAAGTACTCAAAATTTTTTAATGAGTTGGAAATAAGGTTCTGTGTCTCTCGTAAGTTTATGTCACAGACTCGATGTTTCATTTTCTGAGGGACTTCGAGATATCATTTCGATTTCATAAAAGTCTGATTGGGATGGTGAGGATGAGGATGAGGATGAATGCTTAAAGCTATCACTTATTATATATCACTTAACTCAATTTTTTTATCTAAATGACGAATTTCAACATTAAAATGAACAAGAATTAATTCTTAAACGTGAAAATAAATTGACGTTTTAAAGACTTCTCCTTGCCTTTAGTTATGCAATATTTGGACTGGTTGTATTTTGTGGAGGAAGCTTTTTTTCTTTAAATTATAAGCTGTCATAAGTTTTTGACAAAATATGGAAACTACCAGGTGTATGAACCGATATGTGCGACATATGCACATAGTATTTCAAGGGAAAAAAGCAATACTTTGCTATAGATGCAATACCTTCTCTAGATTACTGATTATGAATAATCTTCTGTACATGTGTAGAAACATATGTAATACATCTTCTCGCATATACGATAGGTTTTTCGATTATCTCACTGCTTAGTTGTAAGTTTTTTAATAGCTCAATAAAAATATATAAATGCACATGTTCGTGCGACTCGTCCACAACAAATCTTCCTTAGTTTGAGTTTAAGCAGCGGGCTATGCCATTTTACATGTATTACCACTCGTCTCTTGTAACTGTTCATTCTCTTTAGTGGAAATATTTCTTACGAAATGTTTCAAGTTCGTAAATGACATGACCGTCGTTGTGCAACTGGTAGTAGCTTTCTAAGTTAAAAAAGAAAAATTGTTTCTGTTCAAAATGTAAAGTTCCATAGGAATGAGTAAAATGTGAACAAAAAATACGTCATATATATTTTGCTTAACGTGTTTGTACGTCTTCCATATGATGACAATCATCTTAATTTTCCATCCTAGGTCAAAGCTCCTAGACGGTAAACGACAGTATCCCTTCAAATCCGATGAAATACGACAGTAGTATACGTGATGTGTTACGATGCTCTGTGAACGATGAAATACGATGCTGTTACTTCAGTCGTTTACGGTCATACTGGTCTACTCAAAATATTTTCAAAAATTTTTACACAAAAAATAAACGACTGTCGTATACGTGTCGTATTTTCATCGTGTGTATTTTTCTAATATACCGTTTTGTTTTGTCACTAGCAGAGTATAAAAGATGATCAATTCTAAGGAAAATGGTAAAGTCATTTTTGACTACGAAATTTATTGCCAGTACTATTTGAGAACACGTTTTGACATGTTCTGGATAGGAAAATATTGGTGAGAAAAACTTTTAAAAATTTAATTGGAAAATTAAAAAATAAAAATACGACTATTTGAGACGAAATACGGTGAAACATGATAGCTTATGATGAAAAACGATATTGTATGCGATGTCGTATTTCATCGTATACTGTCGTTTTCCCCTCTGACGAAATACGACATCGTAATACTGCGCGTGAGAATACGACACGTATATGTCAAATTACTATACTGCTCACTGTCGTATCAAACATTGTACACGATAGTTTACGACGGTCGTAATCATCGACCTGGGTCGCTTAGCTTTCAAACGTCTTGTATAGAAGAGCTGTATGAAGACTTTTAGTAGGAACTAGTCAACTGTTGTTAAATTAATTTGAACAAGATTTTATTGACCAAGGAACGCAAAAATCAGTTGTTTTGCAATCTTTGGGTAATAATGGAAGAGTGACTACGATGTTTTTATTCTGTTCAACCGTAGTAGCTAGTGGATAAATTAGTATTTTAGTTTAATGTCAGCGTGAACTGTTGAATTAGAATCAGAGTCTGCATTAGAATTACAATTGTTGTTTGCATTGACTGGCTAATTGTGATATGAGCAAAGCAATATATTATACTACCCCTACTATCATTATCTATATTCTAAATATCTTGTTTGACATTCGTTGTTCACAACAATTTAAGCCCAAACAGACATTCGGGAAACGAGTCAGCAGGTAGGTAAATTTTGGCCAGTGGTTACTTGTCCATTACTTACATTATTTTATCTTGTATACATTCATCAATGAATCTCCACTTGCAGTTGGTAATTCATCCTGTTGTAGACGATAAGTAACTGATATTCTCAATGGCGGTACGAAGACCGATCGGCGATTTGTGAAGGTGAGATTGCTGTTGATGTTGAACTATTTTTATTCAAAAGTTGCTTTATTGACATACAATGAACAATACCGAGACTACCGAACTGAGACCACTTTTTATCAAAAAATTTGGACGTCTTAATTACATCAAGTAAACATTAGAGGACGACCAAGTGAGCATGAGAGTAAGTGCAAAAAAGTGGCCTCAATTCCGAAAGAACCAGCAATGCTCATTGAACTGGAACTATCTTGCCTGTAGACTGTTTGCAATTGTTCGAAGGCATTGTTCAGATCCTCAATGAGAGATGAGCTCCTTTTACCAGTGGTATGTTATACTTCACTTACTATTAACAATAAATGAAGATAATATGATGACATGCGCTCCGAACAGAAGGAATAAGTAAAAAGAAGTTTACTTTGGATAGTGGCTGAACTTTAGTAGTTATTTTCTTCAAAAATATTTGCTTTTATGAATGTTTTATCGATTTTTAACGCTAATATCTTTCACCTGATAGTTCTAACTCTATGGCTGGTGACTATTATTGTCGGAGAGAACCCTGATGTTTGGAAACAACGATTTGACATAACTGTCTGGTGTGTTTGCTCTGTTAAATAGATATACGAGAACATCGTGGAGATTTTGAATAGGAAAATTCGTAAAAGTGATGATCGACTCCTGTATGAAATTTTTCTAAACTATTGCTCTTTATTACTGGCTGTTTTGATTTAATATTAAAAGAATATTTTTTTTAAACAAAAGACAACCATAGTTTGCTTTATGAAGGATTACTTCATTGGACTCAATACATTTATTTTACAGTCGCATTTTCGGTTACAGAAAAGCCCAAACCTTGGAACCTTGTACCATGGTTCTTATTACGCAAGTAGTCTTGAAGACCCCCTTTCTGTAATTTTTCTCTTAAAAATATATATGTCGGACATCACAAAACCGATTCGTTGATTCAATCTTCTTTCAATTCAAAATCAACGGTCAAAACAAAATATAATATTTCCAACATACCTAAAATAGAAATAAAAAATCAGGCTTTGTCACCCACTCTATAGAAGAATGTCTTACGAGGGAACCTCTTCAACTGATAAATCGTTTTTTAAATGAAGCCTAGTGGACTATATGTTAACGACCGTGTTGATTCCGAATATGAGCATGCCACTTGCTGCTAGGCCTTCCGAGACCGTTCTTTTGGAAAAACGTTTTTCCGCAGCGAAAAACGTTTTCCACTAAAAAATTATTTTGATCTGTCCGGATTGTAGAGAACATCGAGTTGTGTACAAAACACTAATTTGTTTTATTTTGGAACGTCTTCTAAGGCAGAAAAACGTTGAAAATAGAATGAAGGCAAAAATCCTTCCGGAGTTTCACCATCAATGGACACATTCGTGCAGATTCAAAGATTGAAACATACTTGATAGTAATAAAAAATGTTTTATCTATCTAAATCACGTAAAACGAGACCTTTGAATTCGAGCTTTAATTCTTATGTTATTACATGACATATACGTAAATGCATCAAGGCTGCTGTACATGCATCAATGTAGATTTTCACGTTAATTTCGGATATGAGCTCGAAAACCAGAAAAATCAATATTGATCAAAACTTAAAAATTCTCGAAACACTGCGTCAACCAGTTACAACCCCTTGTTTTCGGCGATATATTAGATAATTCTAACACTTTTTCTTTATTCTAGATAATTATTCATTTATTATTTCGTGAACAAAGTTTTCAATCCACCTGTTCTTTTTAGAAATCCTTTTTTTTATTTTTACTCAAAAGGTACGTTTTCATTTTACCATACACTTTATAGATTAATCGAATTAATCGGTTTGTTTAGAAGATTATCAACATCTTTAATTTCTTTTACTAATTCACCAAGAATTATCTCTAATTGCAGTTAAATGAGCCCTTCAAATATTTTTCATTATCCAGCCGAATTAGTCAATAGCAATTTTAATTAAGTTAATAATTCAACTGAAATATCGCAAAAACCATTGACATTTACTTCAATGGAAAGCAGAGAGAAATCAAATCAAAAAGGTCCCCTCGTCAGTTTAACCCGTCTTTGCTTTAAATTTTAAAAAAAGACTAGGAAAAAAAAAGCTTTTTCAAATGTCTGTAAGATATTTAATCAACTATACGCGTCCTTACTTTCAAAAATTTTTTAATTTAAAAATTTCATGGGTACAGATTTCATCATTTAATTGATCCCGCGGTACGATATTACGCTTTTCTTCCAGTTATATGAACTATTTTTTTTTATTGTTTTGTATAAATAAACCTGAATGAAAAGTATAAAAAAATATAAGGCGTTCTCTTACTCTACGAATAATTTCCTATTGTTAATAATTTTGATTTTTTATTCGACTGAAGGTGATTCAAGTGCTTGAAATCACATGGCGGAGATATATTCGACTTTTTAATAAAACGTCTTTTAATATTTTGTAACAATTTTTTTGGTTTTATATCTGTAGCATTGAATGGCGAAAATAACAGTTTATAATTTTGATTTTTCGTTAGTTGAGTGTAAAATTTATAAAAATCATAGTAACCTTGACCTTGATCAAATTTGACCATGACGTAACCATTTTGAGTCGAATGACGAAATGAAAATATTTGTTCCTTAGGTAATGTCAGTTTATTAACAATTGTATCAGACCATAGAATAAATCCAGTCTCAGGTTCAGTCAGTAAAAGTCGAAGTTTCATTGGACGTTTAGGATTAAGACCTAAAATTAAAAATAAACAAGTTTTTTTATACAGATCTATAATCTTCGCAAACTGAGTTTCATGAACAATAAATATTTGAATTCATCAAAAGGCTAATCCTTTCTGCCTCGTTGATATCATTATTTACCTGAATCAAGTAACCAAACGCAATAACCAGTATATAAATATTTCCAGTGCTCTAATTGACAAATTTCCTTGTCGGATAAAAGATACAAATGAGATTTACAAGCGCTGACGACTACTTGAGAACCCATCGATGTGTACAATGACTGTATTTTTTCTATATGACTAATCGACAATGATGTCGAAGTGCCATCAGTTTCTTCTTGTAGAGCTTTCGGCGCACATTTTTCATTACCGTTTGTTATATCGTTAAATATCGACGATTTCACATTAGACGTAGTACACGTTTTAGCTGTATCAAGTAATTCTAAAAACTAAATCACGTCATAGATCCTGACTCTATTTCCGAAAAACTTAATCAATATACCTGAAAATCTTCGTTGTAATTTTTCTAATTCATCACATGACCAATTTGAATCATAAGCTGTTGTTGACGATGATGTGGGTGACGTGATTAGAGTCGAATCATTTGGTGAGAGTGTTGATGAAACTTGAATTACTGTAGGTTTAACGATGCCGATCGTTTTTGTTCCACGCTCTAATGAACGAGTACGTGACGAAATATTCACTGGTATGGTACTGGAATCGGAGGTAAACACAGTTTTGGGGCGTTCTTTCGTATTTGCATCTGATAAATGCAAGGATAAATTGTTATTAAATTCGGATGTACGAGATTTGGGTAACGTAGATTTTTTTGGTGAAATATCATCGGTAGCACACGAATTATGATGAGCAGAACTATTCACCAAGGAGTCAGTATGTTTTTGAGAAGCTGAAATAAGAAGAGTGAAATATGATAATATTAAGATGATGTTAATAAATAATACGCACACTTTTGTTGTAAATTCATTTTCTTTTGTTGTTCTCTTCGTTTCAACGGTTCACTTTTCATACCATGATGATAATGTTGAATGGTGGACGGTTTCAGTAGAGGTTGAGTGAGTTGAGAGGAAGATATTTGTTGTTGTTGTTGTTGATGTTGTATTCCGTTAGCCCAAATGATCTCTTTCCCTCCAATACAATAGGAGTTGTGTTTATTTCTAATTGTCGGTATTAACTGTTCAAATTCTTTTGATATCACGTGATTCTTTTCATCTGGTGAATATTTATGATGAAATGAAGTTTTAGCCTCTGTACATCTTAGTGAAACACTCCGTTGATCCGGATTGAAAGATGATTGTTTTATTGGTGATGATGGTTCACATATAATTAACTTATTTTGTTGTGTTGATGATGATGATTTTGAAATTAATAAATGAAACTTATCAAAATGACGCTGACGTTGAATGTCTGGTTCACGCATGATCCACTTTTATTAATAATAGGTCAACCGATTTTATTTTATTATATTATTGTTAACCTACAAAAGAGAATAAAATTGAGTATAGTACCTCTGCAGGTGAAAAGTAAATGAACACACTGTAAAAAAAAAAAAAAAAAAAAAAAAAAATTTGTTAACCTTCGACATTCACGCCTAAAAAAGAAATAATAATAAAGTGTTTTATACAGCCGAAAGAGAAGAATGACCCCCTGCCAATTAATGTGTACAATATATACTTGCATAATATACAATGTACAACAAAACAGACGAATTTAATCGTTTTTGAGAAAATCGAGAATAAGATCAAAAAAGTAAAATCATGGATAATTAAAGTCGACAAGGTCATCATCATTATGAATTAATAGTCTCAAACAACATACAGAATAGAAAAAAAAGAAAATAACCTCAGCATCGATATGCATTCTTATGATTTCAAGTGAATTATTATATAGTATTGATGTAAAACGATTTCTTTTATAGAGTCTATTTTAAATAGATAACCTCGTGCATGTTTTTTTTGTTGAAAAATGTTAACATGTTTAACGTAAAGAATACTTGCGTTAATAAACAAAATGAAATTCAAGCTTCATAATCCATGAATATTATGAGTTAGTTTAATAGCTGTTCGATTTTTTTCTAATCGATACGTTCTAATCTGTGATTACATTATCTTGCCCGATAAATAATTTTATTTTTTCTCTCCCTCTCTTTTTTTACCAATGAATATATAGAAGAAGAATGTTAAATAAAATTTATTCAAAACACACTCTTCATAATCGTTTTTCTGCCGGTCTCTTTTTTTCTCTTTCTCTCTCTCTTTCTCACATTTATCTAAAGATGTCGTTTAATCTGTTAAGCTGTTTTTTGTCCATATCTCATAAATAAAGAGACGTGAATTTGTTCATTCATATTGTGTAATTACAAATATGTGTAAAATGTCGTTTCAAATAGAGAAAGAAAAGGAAAAATGTTTGTAAACTTGGATTATAGATGATGATGATGATGATATTGTGTAAGAGAATAAAATCAAATAAAACAATTCAATGAACTTCTCGTCGTCTCATGCATTCATCTCAGACAATGAATGTATCATATTATTAAATAATAAGTCAGACTAATTTCTTTGGCCGATACTTATTGGCTAGATATTCAGCTTGAATAACGAACAAGAATCATTAGAGATGATAATTCCACGTGTAAACATTTATTTACTGACACTCACTTATCAGAGATAACGAGTTATTAATTGAAAATCGACTACTTAACAAGAAAATTTAAACGTATATCACACAAAGGATCTTTGAAAATAAGAAATCAGCAGAAAGAAGAAAAAATCAAACCTCTACTGCTATTGATTGAGGTGACGTGCAGTTCCTATTAACGATATTTTCGAAAGATTTAAGCGAAAAAAATAGTAGAAGCACTTCACTAACATCAATCGTAATAGAACATAAATTAACATCATACTGAGTTATTTAAAGAATATTCCCATCTTTCGTGCAATTGGAGAGAAGAAAAGAAAAAGAGATTGTTGCATAAAAAAATCTTAATTCCCAGCTTTGATCTTCTTGTTTCATCATTATTATTAATTTCTCTTATTTTATGCATCAATACTAACTTCCTCTTCCATTTATAAAACACATCCTCCGAACAAAAAAGTAATGATGCAAGAAGTTTATTTATTCCGAATATAGATGAGAAAAGATAATCACAGATCATTTTTCTCACAGATCGTGAATGATGTATGCGTGTATATCTCTACTCAACTTCATACAATTAACATAGACATATTTTATAAATAATTTCTTGACTATTTCACATAACATCGTATTTCAATTATATGAGCATGTCTTAATTCAACATCAAAACAACTATAAATGACAGATAACAGATTATTTATTGTGCAGAGAAATTCTGTCAACCGCCGTAGCTCAAACTCTTTAATGATTATTATTCTACAGAAAATTAAACCTTTCTCGAATTATGATCTATAAAATCTGTTGTTTAGATTAACCGTACCTCTAGGTTATCTCATATAATTATCATCATCAGGTAGAATATAATCTTAACCTATATTAGATCCAACTTTCCCAATTCTTACTTTGATAATATTTGTCAAAAAAAAACAAAAATGATTCATCATCGATCGTTAACCTGTGTATCAGTTGTCAGACATGGTGTTTTTTTCTGTCATTGAACATTCGATTTTTCTTTTCTACAGTCAAAAAACAACAAAAAAATCAGTCGACTACAGTATAGACAAGAATGTATTCATATATATCGTATCGGTGAATAGACAAGTATCATATATCATGAAATGATTTAAAGAGTGAAATTTAAACTCTCACAGCATTCTTCATTCATGTTGTAGACAATTAAAATCAACACAACAAGAAGAAAAAAAATAGTGATACTGATTGATTATTAATCGATTAAGCACTATACGCCTAAAAAACCTTGACTAAACGAATAAAAGAAAGAAAACGATTGTTGTTTTTGACTAGAAATAATAAATATCTGGCAAAATGAGAAATGATTTATTAATTGTCTATTCCTTCCTTTTCTATGTGACTATTCGTGATTAAACAATTAACAAGGTTATACCATAAATATATAATCAAGGTTTCTCAATCTTGTAATATCAAAATTGGTGTGAGAAACAGAAGAGTTAATATAAAATTATTAAAATGTATTTATTAAACAGAAGATATCTGACACATGAGTTGAACACTCTGTTAAACGTATTTTCATATATAACATCTAATAGACATATTTTTAAGTTGATAAACTCATTTGATACACATGAAGAATTAAAATTAGTTTAAAATATGTTCAAAAAACTAAATCCTAATAAAAAATATAATTAAAATTCATTACCCCATTCTTCTTGGTAAGATTTACGGACGGATAGTGGTAGGACCAAATATCAAAGTAAATATATCTTGAGATATTGAACAAAAAAAAACTTAGATATACTTTTGCTATTGTCTTGATTACAAAAACTCTCTTGTCTAATATAAAATCGTTGATATACAAGTAAAAATCTTCCTATCTAATGGATGTAAAGAATACTAATGACGTGTTAATCTGATTTTATTATTTTTATCATTAATGAAAATCGGTACAATATGTTTTTCCTACTGTCTGATAAATTCTTATACCCAAAAGTAAAACATGTCTATTCATTCACAGATTTTTACTAATCATTTAGATTAATCTCTGTACAAATTATCATACAACAGTTGAACGTCTCTGTCAAAAATATTCTCATATAACAGCATATAGAAGATAGATTTTCTGGGTGTTTTTTCTTTTTCTACTCGTTACTGTTCAATCCTTGATATCGATGTCTCTTTACTCTCGTTCATTCACGTTACTGATTAAAATGAAAGATTCAATTGTCACTTGAAAAACAAAAAAATCAGTTTGATATATCAACATACACACACCCACTAAGTATTTGTTACACAGTTATTATTGTTATTTTCATTTTGAAAGAAAAATATTGATTTAAGCTGACCAAATCTATGTGTCTACGTGACAATGAGTGTGATAACCATATGCCTTTATATATATTTCAATATTTCATCTTCTTAAAGTATTAAGACAATGAAAAAACAATTCTTTAAATAAATATAAAATGACACGATTAACTAAATAGACTAACTTAACCATATGGTTAATATACACTCTTTTTTTTTATACTTTAACGTTCATCGTTGACTGCATCATCATCTAATATCGAAGTAGAATGGTCACCAATGAAATTAATAGTTTATTTAAGTCTACGGTAAAACGCAAGAACTGAAATTTCTTCGACAAAGTAGTGAGTGTATGTTGAAATCATCTGTTATATATAGTTAATAAAATTGTTAGATTATTGCACAAGGATCCTGCTGTTAGAATGTATTGCTACTATACTGTTGTTCTCTTAAATTTACAAAATATATTAATAGTTTCACTACGATTTTAAATTTTGTACAAGAAACTAATCAAAAACAAAAAAATTATCAACAAGATGATTTACTACATTTCTTCTCGATCGGACGATATGTAAAAAATTAATTTGAATACAATTGTATTGTCTTACGTAATACTCACTAAAATTGGTCATATAATGGAAGAACAGTAGTAGATATTCTTTGAAAATCGTTATATTTGTATGTATGTGTGTTCACAACAAGATATAAAAATACGATCTATTTTCATATAGAGTTGTCCTATACTTGCATTTTCTCGATTACCTTGACAAACAATTTGTAGAGAGAAAAAGAGCGAGAGAGTAAGAAGCCATGATGATGTATACAGTTCAATATGAACAGCAGGCCAAAACAGTTTAGCAAAGCCAAATATAATCATCAATTGAAAGGTCATCTATTCTATTTAATATCATCTGACTGTGTGTGGTCTGTGTTCAATATGGCATATGTATATCATAATCAAAAATAGAATAGAATAGAATAAAACAATGTATAGACACAAAAGAGATTGACACTAAGAAAAGAAAGAGAAATTGACTGATATATATATATATATAGTAAAAAATTGAAACAGATCTTTGATCATCTATGATAGGATCATACATTGAAAAACTACTTAATGATATTGATAACGATAATGTAAATTACAAAGCTTTGTTTAAAGAAAAACAATTTCTTTCATTTAAATAATTATTGAAAAAAAATTTTACCTTTATTTTTATTTATTTATTTATTTTACATTTAGTTTTGATTAGTCTCATCATCGTCATCATCATGAAATATTTTTTAGATATGATGATAAATACATACTTCTATATAGAGTAGTATTGGAAAATATTTAGTATCTCTACATTTTTCTTTTTTTTTTTTTTCATTTTATGGTTCAATTATTTTTGTTGATAAAGCAAGACAGAAAGAAAAAGAAGTGTGATCAACTTCTATAAAGGAACATCTCTTTTTACACGACATTCGATTATTTAATGAAATTATTACAAGAACGAT